TTTTTTTTTTTTTTTTTTACACACTACTCTTAGGTTTGCCACCTGACTGGTATTTTAATGGCACAGACGGTATTTGAGGCTGCCTGGCCGTGCCGGTATTGCAGTAATACTGGCAATACAAATGCAGGTAATTTTCTCATAATAATTGGAAATTACTCTGCAATACCAGCACCGGCCAGTAGGGGTCACTGTGTGTGGAGAGAGGCAGGGATAGGAAGTAACAGCATATCCCTCCCTGCCTATCTCTACTCACTGATCCGTGGGGGAGCAGCTACACAGCACAGAGAGTCCAGACAGCAGCTCTACAGTTCAGGTAAGTGAGGGATGGGGGGGAAGGCAGCAGGGACACATGGGGACACTGAGACACTAGGGGACACAGATACTAGGGGGCATATGGGGACACTAGGGGACACAGACACTAGGGGACACATGATGACACATACACTAGGGGACACTGAGACACTAGGACACAGACACTGGGAGACCTGGGAACACTGAGACACTTGGGGACACTGGAAAACATGGGGACACTGAGACATATGGGGACACAGACACTAGGGGACACATGGGGACACTGTCACTAGGGGACACTGAGACACTTGGGGACACTGGAAAACATGGGGACACAGACACTAGGGGACACATGGGGATGCTGAGACACATGGGGACGCTGTGAGACATGGGGACATTGGGAGATATTGGGACACGGAGACACTATGTCCCCCAGCCAGTGTCCCTAGTGTCTCAGTGTCCCCAAGTCTCCCAGTGTCTGTGTCCCATGCCTCTCAGTGTGCCTAGTGTCCCCATGTGTCCCAGTGTCCTCATGTCTATGTCCACAACTGTCCCCATGTCTCCCCAAGTGTCCCCTAGTCTCCCAGTGTCCCCTAGTCACCCAGTGTCCCCTAGTCTCCCAGTGTCTGTGTCCCTAGTGTCTTAGTGTCCCCAAATGTTTCAGTGTCTCCATGTCTCCCAGTGTCTGTGTTCCTAGTGTCTCAGTGTGCCTGGTGTCCCCATGTCTCCCAGTGTCCCTATATGTCCCAGTGTCCACATGTCTATGTCCACAATTGTCCCCATGTCTCCCAGTGTCCCAAAGTGTCTGTCTCCCAGCCAGTGTCCCCTAGTCTCCCAGTGTCTGTGTTCCCATGTCTGTGTCCCTAGTGTCTTAGTGTCCCCAAATGTTTCAGTGTCCCCATGTCTCCCAGTGTCTGTGTCCCTAGTGTCTCAGTGTCCCCATTTCTCCCAGTGTCCCCATGTCTCCCAGTGTCCCCGGGTCTCTCAGTGTCCCCAGCATCCTAATGACATGGGGACACACTGAGACATTGGGACACTGGGAGAAATGGGGACACAGACACTGTGAGACTGAGACACTGGAAGACAGGGAGACACTGGGAGCAATCAATCTATACAGCAGAATCAAACTGTGAGTAGTTTGTTGGTGATTTTACAGAATTTTCTCTGATGTCACTCCTTGTGATTTACATCATGTGATGTCACGCATAACTAATTAATTATACAAATGATTAAGGCTGGTATTTTTTTCCAAGAAAGGTGGAAACCTTAACTACTCTTCACATACTCTTGCTTAAAGGAGCACTATAGGGTCAGGAACACAATCATGTTTTTCTGACCCTATTATGTTAAAACCACCACCCTTGCCCCTTCTTGCCTCCCTAAATATAGTAAAATATTACTTGTATTCAATTCTGTAGTTGCTGGCTCAGAAGTGGTGGTCTGATCAAATTACAATACTTCCCCATAGGATTGGCTGAGACTGTCAACTAGGCAGATCAGGGGCAGAGCTAGCACAAGTCCAACATAGCCCTGGCCAATCAGCATCTCCTCATAAAGATAAATTGAATCAATGCATCTCTATGAGGAAAGTTCAGTGTCTGCATGCAGAGGGTGGAGACACTGAATGGCAGTGCTGCACACCAGGCAGTACTGCCCCAGGAAGCACCTCTAGCAGCCATCTAAGGAGCGGCCAGTGGAGTTATTTTCTCTGAAAAGACAGTGTTTACTGCAAAAAGCCTGAATGGAATGATTCTACTTACCAGAACAAATACAATAAGCTGTAGTTGTTCTGGTAACTATAGTGTCCCTTTAAGTTTGGAAGCTTAAGAGGGATGTATGGGAACAAAACTTGTGTGCACTGGCTAGTTTAGGTAATGCAGACGTTGGTCTCTCTAACACTGTGGCATGTCCCCTTTCTTCTACACTCACTACAGACAACTTTTCTCTGTCTCAGACTATATACCAGGAACTTCTGCCTGCTAGTAAGAAGATAAGGAGACAAGTGGACCAGCGAGTGCTAGGGGACAGTCCTTAGAAAGAATGGAGTGAGCGCATCATCATTAGACGCATTTATGTCAAGCTCAAGGTGCTGCCTGTATAGTATGCCCTTAGTTGGACAGCCTGCAGGATTGGGAGGCAGCCTGACATGCATTCATGCCAGGCTGACCTTCCAATTCTTTGGACAAACATGCCCCCTTTTGGGCATGTTCACCCCTTTTGGCAGGTCTTGTCACGTGATTCGCACCAGTGGCACACCCTTTTACCCCGCCCATTGACTTCCTGCTTCACTGGACACTGCTGTTAGGGGGTATGTATTTACTTGAAAGATGAAAGCATAAATTAGAGAGAGATTAGCATAGAGTATGTGTTTTATTATAGCTGCATCCTATGAGTTTCCCTCCAGCACCATCTCCATCAGATACATGACGCTTGGGAGGTATGATTGTTTTAGTGTTTTTGGTTGATAAGATTCTGTAATTAGGCCCATCATAATTGTCAGCACCAGGCCCACTGGGCTCTTAATCCGGCCCTGCTTACAGATACACACTGATATAGATGCAGACACACAAATACACACACTGACACACATACAGACATACAGATACGCACACTGACTACATACAAATACACAGGTACACACACACAGAGATATACACACTAACACATACTCATACTGACAACATGCAGATACACAGATAAACACTGTCGGTATACAGATGCACACATTGACAACATACAGATACACACAATAACAGCATACAGATACACACAATAACAGCATACAGATACAGACATATATACTGACAGACATATTGACACATATACATATTTGCTGACAGACATACTGAAACACACAGACACATTCACTGACATACATATGGACACACACACACACACACACATACACTGACAGACATACTGACACACACATAGAGACATACACTGACACATACACACAAACAGATACACATGAAAATGTTACACCTTTATAGCCAACTTCCAGTTTTGTACCTTTTGTAGGAGGGTGCCTTCCCTAGGGTTCACTAAGCTGGCTGGGGTGGTTGTGAGTTAGGCTTCTGCACTCCTGGTCAATGCCCCCTCCTCTTGCTTTCTCGTGAGGCTCAAGTCTCTGTGGGAGGAGGCCCGGTCACACTGTTAAAAGGCCACAGACCCCAACCAGACCCCTGCTGACAAATGTCCCTCGGGTGGCCCATGGGCCCAATGTGCTCCTTAGTGTGCAGGCCCGCTGCCCGCAACAATTTCGTTAAGGATCCTAAAAGAAATTGTTGCGGGCAGAGGGCAAATCGGACATGCTGCTTTGGGCCCCCAGGATTAACAGGGCCTGGGGCAGCTGCCTGTTTGCCTCACGTTAAAGATGGCCCTGTACACAAATGTATTATTGGAGGAAAATGGAAAACACCGCAGGTTGGGATAATTAGTTGGCATATGGAACAAAACTTTAAAAAGTAATAATAATAATTTTTAAAAAACACTTGAATGCTAGCACTGTATGCTTAAGGGTTTAATTTTACAATTCAAAATATAGATTAATTCTGTAATGAATATAATAGCAACTTAAAACTTCCATATGAATGTCATTCTCTTGCAGCATTCCCTTAGTTTAATCTCTGAACAATCTTCAAATAAAGTTGACATTTTCCTAAATGTATGTATTAGCTATGAATGTCATCTTTAACATCTCACTGAGCTGAGAAGACCAAGGAGTTCACGACAGACCTGCTAAATTTAGACTAAATACCCAAGTTGTTGATACAATTCCCATGTAGGCTGTTTTGGCGTTAATTCTACCGGCATGTGGGCAATTCATTGTTTGGCTGATAGATCCTATAAATATAATATATTACCCAGCACTTGTTTGTTGCACAGAACCATACTACTCTAAGGATTAAACATTAAATGTGAGCACATATTAAATGATACAGCTACCCCATTAGGCAAAACACCCCTGTACTCTAAAATGTCAAGTTTATCAACATTGTCATTCTTGTCCCAACAAATTAGTGTTCCCTGTCCGCCGAAATCCTAAACCCCAGATTCAACTCTTTATTCAACGTTAACAGGGTTTACTAAAGTGAAAATTCCAAGTAAATTGTACATTTAAGGTTAAAGAAACCAAACTGAAATCATAGCTGACTTTAAATAATTTCCAGTTCAGCTTTTGAAAATAGTTTAGTGAACAACCCTGTAAGTATCATGAACAAGATTTATATGACATTAGATCTGCCGAGAAGTTGACGGGTGAGCAAACAGTCTATTTGTGCCCCTCCTCCCCCGTGACTGTCCTATGTGGATTGTGGATTTAGGAATAAAAATGTATTCATCATTTTAACCACAGACAAATTTTTGTGATATATCAAATTTTTGTGATATATTTTACATAATTTTTTTGCCAGATTTGTTCATACAATGTTACGTAAAACATTCACAGAATTTAAAGTATAATGTAAACCTCTGACCTTTCAAGTTCTTAACTTCAAGTACATCATTACCTGGGACTTACCTGCAAATCTTTTCCATGGATAACACTATTCATGTGGTCAGATCCCAACAATTCTGTACAGGAGAGTAAAGAAATATATATCACCAGAATTTTCAAAAATTTGTGCGGCCTCATACTACTGCAGACAAAGGTTCGTGGAAGCCTTCAATCATTCTCCAATGGACTGGTCGACTCTTCAATGCGCCCTGTTTGATGTTCTGCTAGTGCTTTTAGAGCAACTCAGAAGAGAAAGGTTTATAATATTAATGTGCCTGAAAGCCAAGGGGAGGAGGCTGTTAACCATTCAACAGTGCATCCCAGAGTCAAATGTTAGATATATTCTTGTTTACCTCTCTTATAGGTGAGATTAGGGCAATGAATGACCCTAATGAAGACTCTAATGCTACAAAGAAGAAGGTTCTGAGAGGGGGATGTTACTGGTCCCCAGGGATACACAGACAGGACAATGTGTAAGCAGATGTCAGATAATTATAACAGGAGATATCTTCCAGGCACGCTGCTCATCTCTTCTAGACAGAGGAAGATGTTGCTTAACCCTTTTGGGCCATGGGAAGTGTACAATATGAACACAGTGTTTTGCAAATAAATCGTCTGTCCAATATACAGTTCTGAAGAATAGATCAATGGTTTAAAAAGAAATCCTAAAACATACCGCTACCCTACAAGAAGACTATTTCATCACTTTTATTAATGGTATTATAAGTACTCTGTCTGCAGTGTCCGTAAATGTTATCTATCAATTTAGACATGTTTGGAGGCTAAAATAATTAGCATAAAAAAGGATGGATAACTGAGCTACCAAGAGGTTAATTCTTCTGTCTATGTCCTGGATTACAGAAGGTTTATACAAATGCAAAAAAAAATAAAAGAAATATGCATGGAAGGGGCTAGAATTAGATACCTCATTAATTCTATAGAAGTCATGATACTGTATCTAAATGTTCGCTGTCGTGTAACAAGAGTAAGCACCATTTACTGAGATGTGATTGTGGGTTTTGGAAAAACCCAAATGCCGGCACATTCAAAAATATATTTGTATAGATCTTCAGCATTCCCAAGCACAGATACTTGTAAATAAATATGATCTGGTCACTTGTATCATATACTGCAGCTTATTACAGGTGGAAGTGTCAGGTTTTCCTTTTCCCTTAACCCCTTAAGGACACATGACATGTGTGACATGCAGGGCCGGACTGGGAAAAAAATTAGGCCCGGGCATTTTTCAATCAGAGCGGCCCCCTAAGAAGGGGGCGGGGCCAGAGAGTGTGTGTTTTGTCATCACTAATGACAAGCACGCCCCCTCTCAAAGTGAGCATGTTGGTTCAATGCCCAGAGCCCCGCTGAAGAGCTCTGGCATTAGAAAAGGCCCTGAATTTGTTCTGCGCAGTGCAAGCAAATTTAATAACATGCTTGCGCTGTGTTTGCTTTTAAATTGTCTCTGGTGTCTCCACAAGTGGGATACCAGAGGACAAAAGGGCCAGGAAAGTGCATGGTGCATATGTTTGGAGCCTGCTTGTGGGATTACGTGTGTGTATTGTGGTATTGTATAAATAGGTCAATTTAATTTGTGTTTGTGGTGTAATATGTGTGGCTAGGGGCTGTAGAGAGTGTGTGTATAAGGGGCATAGTTTTATAGGGGATGCAGCAAGTGTGTGCATACAGGCTGAAGTGTGTGTGTATAGGTGACGTAGTGTGTGTAGGGATTGCAGAGAGAGTGTGTTTAGAGAATGTTGTATGTGTTTGCTGACAAGGAATGTAGTGTGTGTGTGTAGGAGATCTACTGTGCAAATGACCCAGTTTGTGTGTGTGTGTGTGTGTGTGTGTAGAGGATTAAGAGTGCATATAGGGTAAGGGATCTAGTGTGTATCTGGAGCGTAATGTGTGTAGTGGTGCAGTGTGAGGGGTGCTGTAGTGTGTGTGTGTGTGTGTGTATGTATATATTTATATATATTTGGACTTATTGTATGTGTGAAGGGCGCAGTGTGTGTATGTAAGAGGGGTGCTGTGTGTGAGGGTGTTTTTATCTGCTGTCACATTCTGTGTGCTGTGTGTGTCTGGGGGCGCAGTGTGTGTCTGGGTGGTGCTGTGTGTGTCTGGGTGGTGCTGTGTGTGTCTGGGTGGTGCTGTGTCTGGGGGGGTGCTGTGTGTGTCTGGGGTGCTGTGTGAGTCTGGGTGCTGTGTGAGTCTGGGTGCTGTGTGTCTGGGGGTGCTGTGTGTGTGTCTGGGTGCAGTGTGTGTCTGGGGTGCTGTGTGAGTTTGGGTGCTGTGTGTCTGGGGGTGCTCTGTGTGTCTGGGGGTGCTCTGTGTGTCTGGGGATACTGTGTGTGTGTCTGGGTGCAGTGTGTGTCTGGGTGCTGTGTGTGTCTGGGGGTGCTGTGTGTGTCTGAGGGCAGTGTGTGTCTGAGGGTGCAGTGTGTCTAGTGCTGTGTGTGTCTGGGGTGCCATGTGTCTGGGGTGTGCTGTGTGTGTCTGGGCGCGCTGTGTGTCTGCGCGCTGTGTCTGGGTGCCAGGTGTCTGGGCGCTTGTGTGTCTGGGGGGTGCTGTGTGTGTCTGCGCACTGTGTGTGTCTGGGGGGTGCTGTGTGTGTCTGGGGCGCTGTGTGTGTCTGGGGTGCTGTGTCTGGGGGTGCTGTGTGTGTCTGTAAGTGCAGTGTGTGTCTGGGTGCAGTGTGCGTCTGGGTGCAGTGTGTCTGGGGGCTGTGTCTGGGGTGCTGTGTCTGGGGCGCAGGTGTCTGTGCTGTGTGTCTGGGGTGGTGTGTCTGCAGTGTGTGTCTGGGGCATGTGTCTAAATGCAGTGTGTCTGCTAGTGCTGTGTGTGTCTGGGGGTGCTGTGTCTGGGGGGTGCTGTGTGTGTCTGGGGGCTGCGTCTGGGGTGCAGGTGTGTCTGGGGGTACTGTGTGTGTCTGGGGGCTGTTTCTGGGGGTGCTGTGTGTGTCTGGGGTGCAGTGTGTGTCTGGGTGCAGTGTGTGTCTGGGGCTGTGCCTGGGGTGGTGCTGTGTTTGAAGCAGTGTGTCTGGGGTGCTGTGTGTGTCTGGGGTGCTGTGTCTGGGGGGGTGCTGTGTGTGTCTGGGGGCTGTGTCAGGGGTGCAGTGTGTGTCTGGGGTGCAGTGTGTGTCTGGGGCTGCTCTGGGGTGCTGTGTGTCTGGGGTGCGTGTGTCTGGGGTGCGCAGTGTGTGTCTGGGGCTGTGTCTGGGGGTGCCGCTCCAGGGGCGCAGGCAGCCCGGGGGTGCTGTGTGTGTCTGGGGGTGCTGTGTGTCTGTGGTGCTGTGTCTGGGGGTGCTGTGTGTGTCTGGGGCTGTGTCTGGGGGTGCAGTGTGTGTCTGGGGGTACTGTGTGTGTCTGGGGGCTGTTTCTGGGGGTGCTGTGTGTGTCTGGGGGGTGCTGTGTCTGGGGGTGCTGTGTGTGTCTGAGGGGTGCTGTGTCTGGGGGGTGCTGTGTCTGGAGGATGTGTGTGTGAGTGAATGTATTTTTTATTTAAATATATTTTTTTTACTAATAAAAAAAAATTATATCCCCCCCCCTCCCCCCCTCCCTTCTTACCTTTATCCTGGGAGGGGGGAGGGGGAGGAGGAGATTCCGTTCTGCCTGGGGAGGTGGGAGCCATGCTGCCTTCCCTGGTGGTCCAGTGGTGAGAGTGAACTCTAACCTGTAGGTTAGAGTTCACTCTCGCGAGATCTGAGCGTTGCCGCCTTCCCTGGTGGTCCAGTGGTGAGAGTGAACTCTAACCTGTAGGTTAGAGTTCACTCTCGCGAGATCTGAGCGTTGCCGCGGCAACGCTCAGAATCTCGCGAGAGGACCCGGCGGAGCTGCTTGTTAGAGCTCCGCCGGTCCTCTTTCCTCCCTCCCTCACCCAGCCGGCGGCCGCATCTCACTGTCTGTGGGCCGGTGAGGGAGATCTTTGATCTCCCCACCGGCCCGTGGAGGCACTATGCAGGGCCGGCGCTCGGGTAGCGCTGGCCCTGCAGGGGCCGGCCGGGGAGATTCTGTGATCTCCCCTGCTGGCCTCGGCCCCACGGCCATCGCGGCCCACCGGGCATTTGCCCGGTATGCCCGATGGCCAGTCCGGGCCTGGTGACATGTCATGATTCCCTTTTATTCCAGAAGTTTGGTCCTTAAGGGGTTAAAGGGACACTATAGGCATCAAAACAACTTTAGCTTAATGAAGCAGTTTTGGTGTATACATCAATTATCTGCCATTTAGGAGTTAAATCAGTTTGTTTCATGTCCATGTAGACCTAGCCACACCTCCCACACAGTCAGCATGACAAAAAAAGTTTCATTTTCAATTTGTTAACTTACTTTAGAAGTTTTTTTTTTTTATTATGGCCATTTTTTTCAGAAGGTTGAGGCCCAGTCTGAATGTTCTTTAACTTGGACCTTCACTACTGAAGTAAGTGTAATATTAATATTCCATTATAGTATACAAAAAATGACAAGACAGTAAATATTTGCATAAATCGATGTTTAAAGATAATTAATGAATGAAAATAATTTACAGTCATCATCCTTACCAAAAATGTTTTGTGTTTCTGAATGTGTCGGGGAATATTGAATCACAGTATAGCTAACAAATTCAGAATATTTAACAAGCACAGACTTCATAATATACTGTAGATGTGAAAATACAAATAACAAAAGGTATGCACAAATATGCTCCCTCATCTTAGGGGAATGTTAATGTAATTCGCTGGTATATTTGAGAATGTTGCTTCCGAAAATGTCAGCATAATGTAAACATTATTTTCTATGTGGACATAATGCCATATATCTGTCTGGCTAAAGTCAGGTATTAATATTTACAAAATTATTACAGTCTGATAATATGCCATGATGCATACAGTTTGTCTGCTAAATGGTCTAATGGGAACATGGACTGCAAAAATTTCAGTGTGGGAGGTAAGTGGATTTTCCCCTTATTATACAAATTAAAACCAGTTCTATTATAAGCAAAAAAATATATTTTGCTATTGTTACAAAGAAGAGGAACACACAGTTTGAAATAGTTCAAAGTTTATATAACAATAACTAAACAAAAAAGCCATATAGCTAGATTTTGATAATCTTATGATGCTAAAAACAAAACCGTACAGTTCTATTTTAAAGTGTGCATTCTTCAAAGCAATTTGCATTCACATATCCATACTTGGCTGTAATGAGATGTTCTTTTTTTGTAAAAATAAATTACCATCCTTTTATAGAAAGCTTACAAAAAAATGAATTGTCAGATTTATCAAAACATCCATGCTGTCCAATTGTTAGTATTTATTTTGGAATAAATATCAGGCGATTAGAGCAAGTTCTCCAGCAGTTAGGAATTTCCTCGGTCAGCCTAAAAGCTGATATGAAACAGACCAAAACACCATAAACAGGCTCCCATTTTCTGACAAAATTCAGCTGTACCTTAATATATAGCTACTGACATGTGATAAAAAAATCACAGACAAACAATGATCATCGGGGGTCACAGCCGTAACCCTAAAGAACTGACATAT